TCTCTCTCTCTATATGTATAGATATATACACATACACATATACATATACACATATACATATATATACATATATATGGCTATAGATATTGATGTAGATGTAGATATAGATATATAGATAGATACAGATATAGATGCTTCATTGGTTTTGTTTCTCTAGAGAACCCAGCCTGAAACAGAAATCATCAGACCTTTCTTCTGAGATGCTTCTGGGTGGACTTGAACCTCCAACCTTTCTGTTAACAGCCAAGTACATTAACCACTTGTACCACCCAGGGACTCCACTATGAATATAAACAAAAAACAACAAATTCATTGCCACCGAGATGATTCAGAATAATGGTGACCCCATGTGTTACAGAGTAGAACAGCTCCACAGGGTTTTCTTATCACCCAATGTGAAAGTATACATATTACAAATCAAATATTAAAACTGTTACAATAATTACTGCTAGCTTTTATTAAGTGCCTCTTCTGTCCCTCTGTTATTTTATAGACATTGCCTCTGCAAAACTCTGGAATGTACATATTCTTATCTCCATTTTGTAGAGGAGGAAACCGAGACTCCAAAGTTTCCACACCTGGCCAAAGGCATTCTGTGAGTAGTTCAATGCAGCAGATACGTGCTGAGCATGGAGGTTTGACTAAACATCCATAAGTAATGTTGGATTCTTTAAGTGAATTATCAATACTTCCTGTGTCAAACAAGCAGTCCTAATACCAACACGTCTGTGAGGGTTTGTCCCTCCCAGGTAGAGCTATCAAGTCCTCTGCATCGCACTCCTCCAGGGGGCGCCATCACATAGTATACAATGTGATGGTACTCCCAAAAGCACATATACTGTGCCTACAACTGGAATGAGACCCGGGATTGCATAACAGCAACTGTAATGGGAGAGGGGTGGAAATCACAACAATGAAAGAATCAGACCTAAGAAGTGCTGGGTGTTCTCCTGGGGCTGGAATTTGAAACAAGGGTGACTGGTTCCAAGCTCCCTGTCCTTCTCGTTCCCCTCGGGAGGGTAGGTATAATGAATACTATGATAAACGGGTAGAATCCATTTAACTAACCAAAATTTCAAAATCCATATTAGGTTTTCAACTATGTAAGTAAAGTGGATTCTCCACAAACCTCAGGGGGCTGGAAGCCTCAAAGGTGATCCTGATAAATCACATGGCCTTTGTCCAGTACCCTTCCTTTTTGTCTAATAATCTCTCCCAAACATTAGCACAGTCTCTGCGAGGCCAGCAAGACAGGGATCCTTCCAAGGCTATCAGTTCTTTGCAGCTGAGAGGGGTCACAGAGTTACCAAGTGTCAGAGCACCCTGCCAAGCCGCAAGCGCAGGTGACCCCTATTCAGTCCCCGTCCCTGGACAGTGCTCGGCCAAGCAATCATGTCACATTTGGGGGTTCCGACTCCACCCTGGGGGGAATTCACGACAACCTTTGTATCTGGCAGTTGCAGATGGAAAGAGAAAGGGAGTTAGAAAAATGTGATTCCCGCGCAGGAAAGTTAGCCCACAGAAGAGTGCAGCAGTGGGCGGGTGCGTGCGTTTAAAAACAGAGGGTGGGAACCCCACCAGCCAACTCTGCAGAAAAAAATAAATAAACTCTGCCTATCTCCAAAGTGGAGCCCCTCCCCTCGGCCTGCGCGGGAGGAGGGTGACACATGTGCCATTTCCTCTCCCGTCGCTGAGGGTCAGGAGCAGGCCAGCGGACCCTCCACGCTGCACTCAGTCCTTCCCTCGGCCTCTGTCCGGCCCGGGACCTTTGGCCATGGCCGAGACCACTGTCACGCCGCCGCAGCCCAGCGTCTGTGAGTACCGCGGTCCGGAACGGTCAGGCGTCCCAGCTCCGGCGGGAGAGGGGCGCGCCGGCCTGGGCGCAGGGCCTGGCGCGGCGCCGCCTGTCGGGCTCGGCTGGGGTGAGCACCCCAGTCCTGCCCCGGGGTGCGGCGCTCGCTGCGCGCCCTTGTCACGCCCCGGCCTCCAGGCCTTCCCCTCCGGCTCAGATGTCTTCTGGCGTTTCGTTTCTTTGCGTTGTGATGTTCAGAATCTGTGGCAAGAACTTTTTTGTCTGGGAGAATAAAAACGCGCCTGTGAGGAGGGAGAGGCAGAACGCCTGGGCAAGCAGGAGGGAATGTCACAAGAAGTTGTTTTCTCTGCTGCGAGGCGGCATGGCTGACGCGGAGTCCAAGTCAACTCTAGTAAACTAACAATTCTGCGCGGGGAGGGGGCGCAGTGGTGGAGGGAGCAGATGGCCCTGACCTGTGGGGATCCGGAGCCCTCACTGCTGCTTTTCTTTCTTTTCAAAGCCCACACACGCTCTCTTGTTGACAGGAAGTCATATATGAAGAGATTCTTTGTGAGGATGTCCCACCACACATTGCTATCGCGCTTGCACTAAAACACTAAAATTTCATTTTAAGAACCCTGAATGTTTTACTGTCTTATCCCCGCACCTTTCCCAGGCTAGGTTCAGCCGTTAGAATCTGTCAGAGAGGAGAGATCCTGAGCTTATATTGCGATTAAATTATTAATATGATAGTGATGTGGGTATCAGAGACAACATCTCTTTCACAAGTCTCTAAAATCCAGGTGGCTGAGAGGCCTCACCTGCCGGAAGTTGGGCTCTGGGCCAACGTGGTTTATGTCTGGACGTGTGTGTATATATACATGTGTACACATGGTGGTGTATCTGTGTGTGACGGTGCTGGGGTATGTCTGGCGGGCACAGACACCTTTGGAGGGGGAGCAAGGGCTGCACTGTCTGTATTGGGATCATCTGTGCCATTTATTAGCAATGTGAGGGAAGTCAACCTCTCTTAACTCTAGTTTTGTCATCTGTAAAATGGGAATAATGAGATGTTCTTCACTGGGTTGTAAGGTTAAATGTTTAGGAATGATGCAGCACAGAGACTCGCACATACTAAGTACTCAATGAATGTCAAGTTCTTTTACATTCGTTTTACATGAGACTGTAGATTCCTGAACTAATGTGTGTTAGTGTGTTTATGTGTGTATATATGTGTAAAGCCTGGTTAATGGGACAGAAGCCACTGTAATCATTCCAGTTCAAGCACTGAGAAATTGTGGCCTGGCGTCTTTCTCTGTCAGTTCTTAAAGGGACTGGTTTGCCCACCCCTGAGCCCGTCCCTCCCCCACTGGCTCTCTAGGATTGGCGTTTTCAGCCGTGGCCAGTGCCTGCAGACACTCTCTTTCCAGGACTGACCAGGATGCAGGCCTACTTGCATACCATTCTGATCGATCTATGGCAGGATCTCTGTGGTGGGAGAACCGTGGGGCCCTTTTTCTCCTGCTAACGTGGACAGGATGTGTCTATATCCGGTCTCAGTTTGCATGGCTGCTGGTTAGAGCCAGAGAATTTAAAACTAAGAGGACCCACTCCCGCCTGGACCAGACCTGCGCTGCTCAGCTGGGCTCAGCCGGCTCCCGTAGGGCTTGGATGCCACAGTTATTTCCAGAGGCATGCGCAAGAACCCCAGAGCCTTGCCCTTGGATTAAGGGGGTCAGAGCGAAGTGGGAAGATGGCCAGTTTGGAAGCTTTATACAGAATCAGCTGCAGGAACAGAAAGGATTACATTAGGTGCCAATGAAATGCCATTTCAGCCACTGCTCAATCCCTCCAGATACGGTGGCACTGAGAGTCACATGGTGCCAGCAGAGTCAGCTGCTGGACCTCCCCAGAGTTCCAGCAGTTGGGTAATTCTCTCTGGGGCCTTGCAAAGCACGCTGGAAAACACAGAGTTGTGAGGTAAGAGACATTTTATGTTTGTAATGAGGACACATAAATTAATCCAAAATGTGTAGGAAGAATTCCCCTCACCACTGGTGGGAGGTTGGGCAAGTCAAGTCAGTTTGCCTGTTTGGCTGACAGATATGTATATCAAATGCCCAACCAAAACACCTGCCCATAATTGAGGACTACAACGGGCCTGGCAAGCACATGCTAAAATATGTACATAGATATAGATATGTTGTTGTTAGTTGCCATCAAGTCAGTTCAAACTCATGGCCACCCCATACATAACAGAATGAAACATTGCCTGGTCCTGTACCATCTTTACCATCACTGGTACATTTGATTCCATTGTTGCAGCCTTTGTGTTAATCCATCTTGCTGGGGGTTCCTTTGCCTTCGCTGGCCCTCCACCTTACCAAACACGTCCTTCTCCAGTGATTGGTCCCTCCTGATGACAGTCCAAAGTAAGCAAGTCAAAGTCTTGAATAATATTCTGTGATCTATAGGGCTTTCATTGGCTAATTTTTGGAAGTAGATCACAAAGCCTTTCTTCCTAGTCTGTGTTAGTCTGGAAGCTCTGCTGAAACCTGTCCACCATGGGTGACCCTGCTGGTATTTGAAATACCAGTGGCAAAGCTTCCAGCATCATAGCAACATGCAAGCCACCACAGTAGGATAAACTGACAGAAAGGTGGTGGAGATGTAGATATACATGTAGATTTATGACTTTCTTCAAGAAGTACTATATGAATATACAATTACTTTTTATTTTACATAATGAAACCTACTTTATATATTCTATTTCATCTTACTTTTTTAAAATAAGACTATATCTTAAAGATTATACCTTATTGCCATATATAGACTAATACATTCTTTTCAGGGCTGCACGGTATGAAGTGTATGATGTATGAATGAATTGGTTATTTTATTTAACCAATTTCTCTTGTAATGGACATTTGTTTTTAGTCTTTTTTAATTTTTTTGTTTTTGAAACCAGACACAGTGTTGTAATGACCATTTTTATAAGCAGGGCTTTACATGCCTGTGTGAATATACTTTTAGGATAAATGTTCCCAGAATGAAATTTCTGAAACAAAGGATGTGCATTGAAAATATTAGTGGACACTGAGAAAGTGCCCTCCAAAAAGGTCACGCCAGTTTGTAACTCTGCCCAGGAGCCCGTGAAAGCCCCTGTCTCCCCACACCTTCACTCAATCGGTACTATCGAAAGTAGTATCAGAGTTTTTATCTTGGCTGATCAGATGGGTGATAAATGTCCCCACTTCCAAATATGCCTTGGTAATTTCAGGTGAGACTGAGCATGCTCTCTTACCTCCCTAAGACACTGTATTTCTTTTCTGGGATGTGCCTGTCTATGGCCTCTGCCCACTTCCTGTCAGGTTGCAGCCCCTCATGAGGACACGTGACTCCAGAGGTTATGTGATTTTTCTTACATCACACGTTGAGTTAGAAGCAGTGCAGGGACCAAGGCTCCACATGTGCCTTGGAGTCAGATCTGGTTGTGATCTCATCTCAACATTTACGGGGTTAGGGAAAGTTAAAAAAAAAAAAGCCTCCATTTTCTCATCTGTAAATAGGAATAATAATAGCTACTTCAAAGGAGCCCTGGTGGAACAATGGTTAAGCACTTGGCTGAAAGGTCGGTGGTTTGAACCCACCAGGCACTCGGCGGGAGAAAGATGTGGCAATCTGCTTCTGTAAAGATTACAGCCTTGGAAGCTCTGTGGTGCAACTCTACTGTCATATAGGGTCACTTTAAGTCAGAATTGACTCAACGTCCCACAGCAACTTCATAGGAGTCACTTGTGGAACAAGAGAATGAGGGCCTGGCACCGTGCCCAGCAATAGCGGTACTGGTTGGTACTGTTGTTAGCAGAGGTTATCAAGGCAAACCTGGCCTGCTGATGCTGCCAGCCTGAGGAGTCTCCTCTGCAGACAGCTGTTTTTGCTTTTGTTTTTGTTGTTTTGCTATTGATAGTATAGCAATGACAATATTGTTGTTAGCTGCAGTGGAGTGAGCCCAGACTCATGGAGACCCCATGCACAACAGGATCAGATCATTGTGATCCGTAGAGTGTTCACAGCTGCTTTTCAGAGTAGATCACCATTCCTAGTATGCCTTAGTCTGGAAGCCCCACCGAAACCTGTTCAGCACTACCAGACGGTGGCTATACTTGAGGTGCACTAGTAGGGAACAAACCCAGATCTCCTGCACGGAAGGTGAGGCTTCTACCACTGAACTACCATTGCTCCCTCACAAAGATATCTTACTAATACTTAACAAGCAATTACTAATACTACAATATTAGTACCTATTATATGGGAAGCCCTGCGATAAGGGCTTCCATGGGTCACCCCTAGCAGTCTGCTATGAGAGGCATTTTCCTACCTGTTTTACAGACCAGAGCCTATAGGCCCAGGGGGATAAGCCACCACAGGGCTTCCAGGTCCTGAGGGCAAGGCCAGGCTGTGGGCACAGCAGTCAGACTCCAGAGCCAGCAGAGGCCAGCTTGTAAGGACCTCAGGCTGTGGACCAGCAGGGTACCCGTTCCAGGGACTTTCTACCCACTTGCCTGCCAGAGGGCTGTGGACTGAGAAATCACTGTTTTCTCTCTTCCTCTCTCTCTCTCCTTTCTCTTCTCTCTCTCCTCTCTTCTCTCTCTCCCACTCTCCTCTCCCCCTCTCTCTCCTCTCTCCTCTCTTTTCTCTCTCTCACTTTCTCTCTCTCTCCTCTCTCTTTTCTCTCTCCCTCTTTCTCTTTCTCCTCTCTCTTTCCCCTTTCTCTCCTCTCTCCTTTCTCTCTTCTCTCTCCTCTCTCTTTGCTCTCTCTCCTCTCTTCTCTTTCCCCCCTTTCTCCTCTCTCCTCTCTTCTTTCTCTCTCCCACTCTCCTCTCCCCCTCTCTCTCCTCTCTCTCTCTCCCGTCTCTCTTTTCAGCTTCCCCTCCCCTGCCCCTCTTTTCCTTCCCCTACTCCTGGTCTTTGCCTGGAATTTTCTTTAGATCATTATGTAATCTGAACCTCTGAGGGAAT